GGCTCTGTTGGTGTTCAGGCGGCTTTGACGTCTGCTGGGGCAGCAGCCCTCCTGCTCTGCCAGCCAGAGCGAGGGCCGAGAGAGGGCCTGGGCTTCTGAGACCGCAGAGGCAGTCCTGTCCTCAGCGCTGCCCAGGAGCCCTCGGGACGCGTGTTCTGCCAAGGGCATCCAGTGGGCTTTTGTTGCCAGTAGGAGGAGAAGGCCTGTCTCCAGGGAGAGCTGCGGAAAGGTCAGGCCAGTGCCGCGCTGGCAGCCTTCCAATGCCTCCCCTGTTCTGGGGATGGCTCCAGGCCTGTTCTCGGTCTGGCCCGCGGCTGTCGCTCCCCTCTGTTTTTGCCGGCTTCCTTCCAGGGAGACGTAGGAAAGGCAGTTGGAGGCAAGGGCTCTGGGTGGCCACCTTAGGTCAGAGAAGATTTAAGATGCAGATCCCGGGCCCCCCAAGCCAGAGAAGCAGTGATCGGGCTAGACCTGCTGAGCGCTCTCCCTGCCGGGCCTCAGGTCCTTGGAGCAGCGCCAGGGCACAGCCCTGCTGTCTGCAGTGTCTGTCCCCCTGTCAGGGCACAGGGACCTGATCCCGTGTAAGGGTCAGGAAACAGATCACCCCAGGTGATCCCAGTGAAGTGGCTTTCATGGAAGGGGACGCAGGCCTAGGGGACTCACCTGGGGTGCTGGAGCTCCCGGGGCTCGTGACTGGCCTGAGGCCAAAGAGACCTTGAAGGCACGTGAACACCTACCTTGATACTTCAGGTGGGAGCACTGGGGAGCCCCCACCTGTCCCTTTGTCTCCCTCAACTCCCATCTCCGACCAGTGTTCTCCCCATTTGCTTAAGCTCAGTGATTTATAGAGTCTGTGGGCATCGACTCTGGTGACAGAGAGGACTCCCCTCTAGCGGCTTTCTCCTCTCTGCAGGCCTTAGAGTGTGCCCTTCTGGTCTCTCGGCCTCTGCAGTGACCCAGCTGGGCTGTTTGCGTCTGCCGAGGCCAGTGGCACAGGTTACAGTTCATCCTGCAGAGTCCACAAGGGGTCAGGTCCCTGTCCCCCTCCAAAGGCCAGACCCCCGAGCCTGGGATCGGGTCTTGTACTCACCACAGGTCGTGTCCCACTCGCAGAGGTGGAGGATGGAACACGACTTCCCCTGTGGCCCTCATGGTCTGAAGTGTGAGGCAGGACATCTAAGCCACCCGTAGCTCCAGCCAGGACAGTGAGACCATCCCTTGCCCCCTGGAGACCTGTTTTCAAGACCCTCGGTTAAGGAGATGCCAGTTTATGCTATTGGCTGACTGAGCCCCCCAGGCTCCGTGCAGGGCAGGGGTGGGGGGCCAAGGATGGTGCCAGCTCCTTCCCTCCCTTCTGGGTTCGAGGCTGGGCTGGGAGCCGGGCACGCAAGCAAGAGTCATGGGTAGGTGCTGCAGTGAAGGCAGGTGTACAGGGCACCACAAGCTGACCACAAGGGGTGTTTCAAAGACCCAGAGACCTAGTACATAAGAGGCTGAGAGGGGAGGAAGAAGGAATTTACTCCCATGCACAAACCTTGGCCGATGCCTCAGCTTTCCCTTCACTAAAACGGGACAGCAGCATGTTCTCAGGCGTAGGCTGAGGCCACGTGCTTGGAGTTCTGTGGACCCCAGGGCATCCGTGGACCCCAGGGCATCCATGATCCATAAGCTCTTTGACTCCGAGGGCAGAAGAGGCAGCAGCCCAGGATCTGGAGAGAAGCCGTGACTTTCTCTCCTTCTGTGCAGACACAGCCCCATGTTGATCCCCAGGTGCCCCGGTGAACTTCCAAGGGCTGGTTAGGCAGAGGTGGCCATGCTGGAGCTGAGGTTGAGGCCTTGTCCTGTGGCATCAGCATAGTCCAGTGTAGGATCAGGGACAGGAAGAAGCTGCTGGCCTGCCCACCTCAGGCCAGAGAGGCCCGGCTGCTCCTGCCCTCCCCCAGCCCCACCCTGCCCCTCAGCATCTCCCTGGGAGCCCGAGAGCCCCTTGAGACCCCGCTATCTTCTCCCCACCCACCTCAAGCTTCCTAGGATGCCTGGAACACTGTGAGCTCTCATTAGGCTCTTTTAATGAAACACAATTACTCTGGATTACCCCAGGCCAAGTTTAGCCTCAAATCACTGTCCTCACTGCCTGCGACAGTTTGAGGCCACCACATTGCCACCACTGAGGCTGCGGGGCTCAGGCACACAACCTGATTTCACATTAACCCAAGGGGACTAGAACCAGGAAGGGCAATTCTGCTATTTTCGGAGAATCACATTTTGTACTCTAACTCTGAATACAACAGAATCTTCGAGTCCTATCTACCATTGTCCCTGCTCTTTAGCGTGACAATGAGTGGGAAGTGGAGGGCATACATGATAATAACAGCCAGCACTTAGGCGTATCATGTGCCAGGCGGTGTTCTAAGTGTTAAACTTAATAGTTCATTGACTACCCCCATCCTTCCTCTGCTGCTGCCTGTCTTCTCCCTGAGGAAGCAGGCTCAGAGAGGCTGAGCAGCTTGCCCAAGATCACACAGCTCACAAGTGGTAGAGCAGGGACGTGAAGCAGGTGCAAGACCCCCGACTCCTGTGCTGTCTCACCTCTTAGAGGGAAAAGTCCTTCCCCAGTGGAGATGAGAATGTGTGAGGGAGAGGGAACTTGTGGCAACTCTTACAAGCATGGAGACCTCTTCAGGCTTGAGTGGTACAGGAAGATGGGGTTCCTAGGGTGAGGAAGAAACACAGTTCTGAAGGCTGGGGTTGGAGGAGGCTGGGGCTCTGCCCACCTCCCAGGCTCTCTTCTCCTCCTCTTCTAACTGAGCTCAGCTTCCTCCAGATGCAGCCTCCTGGTCGCCCCCTCCCTACCATGTCCCCGGGACCACGGCTCCTCAGGGACCCTGGCACCAGGATGGAATACCCACCACGCCAGACTCCCCACCAATCTCTCTCCCCCATCTTAAACCCCCAGCTCCCCCACACAGGCTGTTTCTCTGCCTCGCCAGCTGAGAACGCGTGTGTTTTAAAGCTCTGAATGGGCCATTTCGGCTCGGAGTCCAGATGCATTTTTATATCCACATGGAAAAAAAAATGCAGAGGCTCTGCTGGCAGTCAGAAAGAGTTTTTTAAATTAAAGTTAAAAAAAAAAAAAAAAAGGGAAGGAAAAGTTTCCCGCACCTGGCCCTTCTCAGAAGGCACAGCGGAGAACAAAGCCTTTCCTTAATTTGGCCACATGGCCAGTTTCTAAAAGACATAGGTCCCTCCACCGCCTTCTAGATTCCACGTCTGATGGAATACCTGCTCGGACCCACCCTCGGGGCTTGCTGTAAGTCCCAAATTAGCCTCCTGTACAGACAGGGAGACTGTGCTCAGGCTGGGCCTGTGGGCTTACCCGTGGTCACTGTGTCACCTGCCTGGGGCGACAAGCACCACAGATGGGGGCGCTTAGAACAACAGAAATCTGTTACATCACAGGCGAGAAGCCAGAAGTCCAAGATCAGGGTGTCGGCAGCATTGCCTGCTGCTGAGGGAAAAATCTGTTTCCTGCCACCTTCTGAGCTTCTGGTAATGGGTGGAGAGAAGCTGCTGACCCACCTTAGGCCAGAGAGGTCTGTCAAGTCACCCCAGTCTCTGCCTCTGTCTTGGCTCAGCTGCATCTTACAGGGCGGGGCCTCCAGGGCATCCTCATCTTCATGTAACTCACCACATATGCAAAGACCTCGTGTTGCCTGTGGTCACGCCCTGAGGCACCAGGGTTAGAATTTCAACAGGTCTCCTTTTGGGGGACACAGCCACCCCATAAAAGTCCTGCATCGTGGAGGCCAGACCAGGACTCTTTGGTTCTAGGCTGCTTCCTGCAGCATCACCTAGGAGGAGGGAAGCTCCCCCGCCCTCCGTTCCTACCAGATGGCACCATTGCAACCCACGTTGTGCTCCAGTCCCGTCTGAGCCGCCCATCTCAGACCCAGCACTGACCTACTGAGAAAACTCACACCAGCACCACAGGAGAGCTGTCGGTCCCAACCCCACAGCCTAGGTGGATCGGAATGCCCTTGTCACTCCCATTTTATAGATGAGGAAGCTGAGGGCTGGCAGCTTTATTTCACTGGCCGAAGGTCTCAAAGCTGGGAAGTGCAGGCCCGCCTCCACCACGCCCGCGCGGCTCCAGAGTGCAAGCTCACAGCCGCAAACATGGGGCCTCCAAAGCTCGGAGTGGTGAGAAAAGCCCTGTGCCCACATTTATCTTCAGCCCTTGGGGGTGCCAGGGAGATGCCCCAAGGCAGGATTATGTGAAGTATCCAGAATGGGCAACTCCGCACAGGCAGCCAGTCTCCTGGGAGCCAGGGAGCATAGGGAGTGACTTTGTTTTGGGGGGACAAGGTTGACAACATTCTAAGCCTGATCGTGGCGATGGCTGCACGACTGAAGATGCTGCAGGCCGTTGCCTTGCACACTTCAGATGTGTGCCGTGTGCGGCGTGTGAGCCACGGCTCAATGAAGTGGTTATGAAACAGAAAACAAGGGGGAGTAAAGCAGCGTGCACAGGCCGGGCCCTCCAAGAGATGAGGACACGGCGGCCCCTGCTGAGCCCGTGGGGGCAGGATGGGCAGGGAGCGCTGGGCACACACTCTCAGGGCCCACGAAGGACATGTCTGTCCCCAAGCGAGGGGCCTGCTTGGTTGTCCTCGAGTGGCCAGCCAGGGCCATGGGCTGCTGCCCGCAATGGGGAGAGGGAGTGGGGAGCGGATAAGATGTGCAGGGAAGCCACCGGCGCAGGCACCAGGCACAGCGGCAAGTGCATTGACACACCGTCCCTGGCACCTCACTCCCTGGGAACATGACCCACTAACTCATGATGTGTCCAGCGGCTCCCCAGACCTCGCCAGAGACCAACCAGGCATCAGCAGGGCTGGAACCTGGTGGCCAGAGCTCTCAATGCCGGCAGGAGGAGGGCGGGTGGAGGTTCGGGGCTCAGGCCTAGCCAACACACTGCTTCATTCCTTGTCCCCTCTCCCCAGAGAGCCTTCAACGCCCTGTGTCACAGCACCCACCTGTACGGCCGCAGGCTGGTGCTGGAGTGGGCCGACTCCGAGGTGAGCCTGCAGGCGCTGCGGCGGAAGACGGCTGAGCACTTCCACGGTAAGAGCCCCGGGGCTGCCGGGAGCCCCCTGAGACCCTGCCCGGGCTGGAAGGACCATACCCTTTCTGCTCTGGTCATTGGGAGCCCTGGCAGGATGTTGGGGAGAGTGGGGGAGTGTCAGCATGCCTTCTCCCACCCCCCTCTGGCTGAGCCTGTCACCATGGTGCACAGCTCAGGGCCTTCTGCCTCCCAGCACTCTGTCCAGGGCCAGGGCTGGCCCAGGACCACTTGCCTGATCTCCATCCTCCCTGCCTGCCCTTTACTGGGCCCCCCAGTCACCTTGTTAAAGGGCCCCCATGGATGCTGACCCCCGCTGGTGGTTCAGCCCCTCCCAGAAAGTGGGAGTGAGCCCCTGGAGTATCCCAGTGCTGGGGGGCAGCAGAGACGTGGCTTCAGGTCCTGGGAATGTTGTTGAGCACAGATGAGACCTTGGTGCCATGAAATGGCTGCCGGGACAGAGGGCACCCGAGCTTGGCACACGCTCAGCGCGGGGAGACAGGAGGCAGGCGTGGCTGGAGGGAAAGAGTGACGCAAGTCCGGGTGGGCTGCTTGCGCCTTGCTTGGGGCCTGGCCTCTGCAGCTGGAGTGTGACGGTCAGGTGAGGAGGGGGTGAGAGGAGGCCGGAGGAGGCCATGCGGCACATGGAAGGCAGCAGTGGCATTGGCTGCATACCCTGCCCTTCCCCCTCTCGTCTGTGTAACGATGGAACTTGGAGCCAAGACGTGATCATTTTCTGTGCCAGCCGGTGACGCCCAGCTTCTCCCATCAGGCAACAACTTAGGCAGGGGGTCTCCTCTGGAGTGTGGGGCTCATGGGCCAGCAGAGCTTCTAAGCAATGTCTTGAGTGACATCTCAACACTGGGTCCCCCACAAGTGTTCTGCGACCTCCAGAGACAGGATGGAAGCCCTGTGATTGTGGCTCAGCCACACACCTCCCCACACCTTTCCAACCCAGTCCCCCCACCATGCTAAGAATTCAGTGCTCCCCAGATGCTGGCAGGGCCCCTGCTGCTCTGAATGTCTTGCCCCTCAATTTTTTGTTTTCACCTGGCAGATGTCTATCCGGCCTTTGGGGCCCAGGTCCAATGACACCTCCCCCAGGAAGCCTTCCCTTCCTCATTGCTCAGCCCTCTGTTCTCCCCACTCTGCCCCACACTTCTTGCCCTGCCATCATTTACGTCCTTGTGGCTCTTTCCCTCACCATCCTATGCCTCCCGGGCAGAGGCTGTGTCATCTTTGTCTGCAGTCAGTTTACTCTGGGCCCCCTGTGCCTGGCACTGGCCAGGCCCTCAGTGTGGGGCTGGAAAGTACATCAGCAAAGGCAGCCGAGGAGATGGAGAAATCAGAGCCAAATACAGATTTGCAAGCCCACAACTCAGAAAGTCCCCAAACCCTGACACGCAGACAGAAAACCTGTCCTCATCGACAGTCATTGACAGGCCCAAACGCACCGTCGGCAAATGTTTGTGTAAGGGGCTCTCCCAGCCCCCCCACCGCCCCCGGCCCGCCGAGGCGTGCGGTCTCAGCACTTCGCCCGCCCTGGAGACCAGCCCTTCAATAAATGAGTCCCAAAGACAGCATTATGGCCTCACCCCAGCGGAAAGGTTTGCTCTTAGCATTTCTGTGGGATTGGCCGTCCCCATGACCGCTTAGCACCTGCAGGCCGAGGCCCAGCCCAGAGCAGATATGTTCATAACAGTGACAGAGGCAGTAGTTTAGTTACATGTCTTTCATGAACCCCCCCTGACCTCTATGAGACAGGCAGGTGGGCCCCACTTTGAACCCCCCCAACAGCTCTATGAGACAGGCAGGTGGGCCCCACTTTACGGATGGGGGTGTGTGTGTGTGTGCGCGTGTGTCTGTCTGTCTGTCTGTCTTAGGTGTGTGGCATGCTTGTCTCATTTGTCCTGGCAGCAGTAGGGACCGCCATCTCTCTTTTACAGTCCTGGAGAGAGTCAATGATGTGCCCAAGGTCACTCAGCTAGAAAGTGGCAGAGCTGGGATTGACTCCAGACCAAACTGTAGCCTCCCTGGAGCCCCTTCCCAGTGCCCTGCATGCCACATTGCCCTAGCAAGTGCCAGTTCAGAATAGCCTTGGGCCTTTGTGAAATCTGGGACATGAAGATAACTCTGGCTTCCTTCATCTTGACTAATCCAGACCTCAAACCCAGAATCCTTAGGAAGCTTCCAGAAATGGAGGAAATGAATAATAAATCATCACGAGCAGTGTCTCTGGTTCTTCCGAACTGACACGTATGTCCTGGTGGAGGGGTCCCAGCTGCAGAGAGGGGATCAGGCCCCACCTGAGGCCAGTGTTGCACTTGGGAGCCAAACCCTTTGTTCTGACTCTGAGTTCCTGTGAAGGCACATTGGCCTTCAGCACTGAGCTGACTAGCCAGGTGCATGGGAGGCAAACTCCCAGGGACCCTCCCCAGCCCTAGGGTGGATGGGCAGGACCCAGCAGGGATGGAATTTCACCCTGAGGGATGGCAGGAAGAGCCTGGGATGGAACAGTGCTTCTAGAGGTGGGGCAGGTGCTGTCCGCCCACCCCCACCCCATGTGGGGGCAGGGCAGTAGGCATGTCCTGAGACCCAGTCCTGGTGGATTGACACCCAGTCCCCGGAGTGGAGGGAAACAGGTGAGCATGGGAAGAATTGCCTGCCGTGCTCTCTTACTGCCAGGCCCAGGGGTGAACCCTGAGGGACAGAGCAGGGCAGGCTGGACCTGGGACCCCAGACCAACACCCTCCAGCATATATGGTGACCTACGAGTGTCAGCTAGATGGCCGGGTGGGGACCTGACTGTTCCCGGGAATGGGGTGTGGGGCTGCAGAATTGCCTGCTTGCAGGGGGGATGCATGATGGGGTCCATCTGGGGGATCCCCCACCAGCACACTGGTGCTTGACTTCTCCCGTCTGGGGCGTGAAGAGGCATCAGAAAGGTGGGTTAAGAGCTTGAGGGCTGAAGAGTCTGAAATTAATTACCTACCATGGGTTACAGTTCTCCTTAACAAAGACATACATGGTATCTTTTTTTTAAAGATTGCTGTCTTGAAAACACAGCAAGACATGAGACAGGGATTTTTCACCAGAATCCATGAAGTCTTTTCTTTCTGGGTCCTAGTCTAGGGCTGGCCTCGGGACCTGGGAGCACCCCGAATAATGCTGTTTTGTGTGTGTGTGTGTGTGTGTGTGTGTCTCTGTGTCTCTCTGGTGTCTCTGGCATCTCTGTGTTTATATCTCTGGCACAAGAATGTGGTTTCCTTCAGATTTTCTAGAAGTACCCAGTCCCTAAAAGATTAGGTTTAGGAAAATGAGCATCAGCTGTAGAATCTACAGGACCTGGATTCTGTCACTTCCTTAGCGTTCAAGACCGTCATCTGGGCCTCTGCGTCCTCATTTGTGGGACAAGGCTCCTTCTAGAACTGTTGGTTTGAGGGGTTAACAGCCATAGCAGTGCCTTTCCCACTCACGGCATAGCCCCCCTGCAGAAGTGAAGTCACTTCCCCAGGGCCACCCAGGGAGGAGATGTGGAAACAAGGTTTGAACTCAGACTGTCACGAACAGCCACACAGGTGCTGTGATGATGCCAGGCCCCACCCCCACCCCAGGGTCTGTTTAATCTCCTCCGGACACAGGAGGTGCCCCAGCAGCCAGGAATGGTGATAATAGGGCTGCTGGCCCCCTGCCCTCCTGGCTGGACCCTCCCCCACCACCCCCGCTCTGTGCCGCTTCCCTGTGGTGAAAAATGCCGAGCTCATTTATGCCGAAATCCGCATTGTGCCGAGCTTCCAGGGGCTGGCGGACACCGGGCAGGTGGGATCCATGCCCAGATCCCTCCCCCGCCTTGACCTCTGCCAGGAAGGCACTCAGGCCTCAGGTGGAAGCCCAGCCCCAGCGCCAAGGCCACGACCAAGGGCTCTCTGGGGACTGTGGCCTCGGAACAACAGGCAGAGAACCCTGTGGCCTCCCAGCTGCCCTCGGTGACAGTGGAAAGTGGCTGGAGTGGGCAGAGCGTGAGCTCTGGCTCCAGACAAAGCCCGCAGTGAGGCCGGTGTAGTGGTATGAGTTCCCCCACATTCGCCACACCCCTGGGGCTCGCCCGGGTGCTTCCCAACCCCTGGGACCAGTCTCTCTGTCCTCCCCAGGGTCCCTGAGCCTAGATCAAGGGGGCCAGCGAGCCAGGCAGTTCTCACTATTATTATTATCACATCAGTCGTCATCTGCGAGGCCTTGCTTTGTGTCACGTCCCCCCCAAGAGCTTTCACAGATAACAGTCTTGCAGAATTTTAGGCAGTAATTCCCATCACCCGCCTCTGTTTCACAGTTGAGGAAACTGAGGCACAGAAAGGGCAGATACCTTGCCCAAGGGCGCCCAGTTCTGTGGCAGAGTCAGGGGTCCCCTGTGCTTTCTTGCTCCCGCCCTCCCCTCGGGTGTGCACTGCGGCTCCTCTGCCCACACCGGCATGCATCCCCACCTGCCCGGCCTCAGCTCTGGGGTCTGTCCAAGTGGTTAGAACACCTTCTTCCTAAGGGGGGTCATGGGGTGACCGTGCAATCTTTCAGGCAAGCCAGGCGAGGGGAGAGGCTCTGGGGGCAGAGACGTCAAGAAAAACCCAGTTTGCATGAGACTGGACAGCGCCGAGTAGGGGAGGGTGTGCGTGTGTGCACACATGTGTGAGTGGAGAGAAAGAACTAACACGGGCAGTGCTCAGGTGTGACTGCCCCTGACTCTCCATCCACCCTGGTCTCATCTCCCGTGTCTCAGCGCCAGCCTGTGCCTGGCAAGTGGTCGGAGCGTTCAGTACCCAGCAGGGAGGAGGAGGAGCAGGAGGAGGAGCGGGAGGAGCAGGAGGAGGGCAGCTCTCCTAACGACTCGCCTTCTGGCTGCTGTGGGAACCAAACACACTGGCTGCTCTTCCAGGGCCCCCCACTGGCAGCCCCGGGGAGCTGGTTCAGCCCCCCAGCGAGGCCTACCAGGCCTGCGTGTTATCCGTGT